GAAAGGAGAGGTCATCAGGACGAGATCTTGCTGTTGCTCCCTGGTGACTTGCAAAGGGTAAGTGGACTAGGCCCTTCTGGACACAGTCACCCTCTTGGATATGTCGTCCTCTGACTTCTTCCCCAGCCCATCAGGATCCAGGGTCTGGCAAGAACCACAGTAAGTGTGGGGTGCCAGTCAGGGGTGGTGGGCACCAGTCCCAGGCCCACAGCTGGAGGGATGACACAGTGCCAGAGTTGGGTAAACCCAGCTGCCAAGCACCACAGACATGTTGGGTCTCGCCTTAGCCCGCTGCTCCCTGGGATTAGCCGCTGCGGTTGGTTGTGGAGCCAGGGAGCCATCTCCTCAGAGCAGCCAGGAAGGGCAGGGCAGGGCGGGGATGAGGGAACTGCTTAGGGGCGGGAAGAGTTTCGGGTGGCCCCCTGCCAGATCACCCGGGGTCACTGGTCCAGTCCTCAAGTCCCAAGCTAGGGTGTCACCAATTGTTTGAGTGATACCCTCACTGTCCCTGCAGCCAGGTGACGTGGCAGTCACACCCATCACCTTGTTCCCTCCTCACAGCCATCCTCTGAGGTGGCTACTTTTATACCTACTTTGTGGATAAGCAAACTGAGGCCCACAGAGATTAAGAGGCTGACCAATAACCACACAATGAGTTGGAATCAATAAGGAAAAGCCAAGGACTCATTCCAGCGGGGTCCTGGCAGAACCCAGATTAAGGTGGTTACCGGTTGTCTCCTGTGTGGCAGAACTGTGCCGAGCACTTCTCAGGTAAGATGTCATTTGTGCCTCACAACAGCCCAATGAAATAGAGATTATCACCTCCAATCTGGAGAAGAGGAAATAGACTCAGAGCAGTTAATTTGTTGCCCAAGGTCACAAAATTAAAAGGTAGCAAAGTCAGGTCCAAACTGAAGTATGTCTACCTCAAAAACACCTAACAGAGCTCAGATAATCTGCAAATATACCAGGCCTTGCCTCTGCTTCTCACTGCTCTGTGGGGCCTCGAGGACCACAGGGAAACTCCAAGAGTTTAACCAGTCTCTCAAGGCCTTCCGCCGCTGGGCATCACTGCTCCTTGTCCTCCAATCCATCCCCCGCCCTTTAACCATGGTCTGCTTTCCCTCAAACATGCCATGTACTTGCATAGCTCTAGCTGGGTAAAGCCTGGTCTGCATGCCAGAAATGCCCTTCACCCTCTTCTCTGTCTGCCAAATTCCTCAGGCCACATGACAGAACCAGAAAGAGTATGCTAGAGAAGGTGTCATTTGAGTTGGAGTCAGTTAATCCTCTGGATTTATGAAATGACTTTTATATTCATTACAATGTGATATTGCTGATGAGACAGTGGAGTTTATTTGACTATCTGGTCACCAGACTGTGAATGTTTTCAGGCCAGAGATGTGGAGTGTTTATCTCTGTATCCTAGTAATGGGTACAGCACAAGTAATCACCTTAAGTTTGTGGATGGATGGATGGATGGATGGATGGATGGATGGATGGATGGATGGATGGAAAAATAAATGGACAGGTGTTTGGATAGAAAAATGGTGAAGAAATTATATAACAGAGGGATGGATGACTTGACTGGAGGATGGATAAATTAATAGAGCTTAGAAGGATGGAAGAAGGAATGGATGGATTACTCATATCAACCAGCCCAAAACTATTCAGCACAAACAGAATTTTGAGCCCCCTCTTCACTCACTGATCTCATCACACTTCTTGCCAATAACTCGAGAAGGCTAGTTCATCCCTCACCACTCTTCCTTCCAGGTTGAAAAGGACCTAGCAGGCCCTTCTGGACAAAGAACAGATGGGGTGGGAAAATGACCCCCACCCATTTGGTTGATCTCACATCCTGGAAACCTATGGCTGCACTCTAGGAAGAGGGAGGGCCTGCCCTGTCCCCTGGGATGAGCTAAGCAGGGAGTAGCCACAGTTCCATCTTTCCATTAGCTAAGAACACTTCCAAACCTGGCCTCTCCCAGCTTCAGATTCCACTGCCCAGAGTAATTGGAGCCGGGGCCTGAGCCCAGTGTTGCTTCAACCCCAAAACCAAAACCACACTGGCCTGAATAAGAGGGGCCTTAGGGTCAGGATGTGGAGGCCAGGAAGAAACTGGACCAGCATCTAGAGACATCTGGAGGCAGCTGGCCACCATCAGAGGGGCGGGTTCTGAGATCCACAGTTCTGAACGTGGAACAATGGGTGTGAGTCCTCTCCGGGAGCACACGGGGCTGGAGCACTGGTTTCTCCTGAGGAGGGGCGAAGACACTGGCTTCTCTCTGGCTTCCACCCCACTCCTCACCAACCCCACCCAGCCCGGCAGCCTCACATCTGCAGGCAAAGCCCTGCCAAGTAAACAGCTGCAGCCCACGCTCCAAGGCTCCCCAAACCCCAGCACGACCCACAATGGCCAAAGCCACATCCCACCCGTCCCCCAGCACAGGGCTCAGGGGAGGGGAAATGATCATTAATCACAGGGAGACGGCTTCCGGGCAGCCTCGAAGACAGGCTGAGGAGACCGGAGCTGGGAAGGCGCTCCCCACAAGGTCCCAAGGGAGGTCGGGGCTCCTGCTCTGACCCAGCATCGACTCCATCTGTCAGTGGCTTGCCTTCCGATGCCCAGGGAATTGTTGAGAAGCAGCCAGCCCCAGTTGTGGCCTGGAAATCAGGAAACAAGGGCAGAAGTGCCCTTCTACCAACGTGCCTTCCTGCCTTCATCCAGTGAGGCATCAGAGAAAGCCTCTGTGGTCAGAAGTTTCGAGCTTTGCTCTTGGCCTGGCCATGGAATCATTGTGTGACCAAAGGTATTTTCCTCTCACGGCCTTGTTTTCTGCAAACTGGGGAAAGGACTCTCACTACCTGTGTGCACATCCCTGTATGAGTCCCATGCTGTGGGGGTGCCCATACTGATTTATGAATCTCCCAGGCCTTGGTCCACAGCAGAGGAAGCCAGCTGTGGCCCTGGGCCCTCTCTGAGTCGCTGGCAGAGGGGCGGTACTGGGCCAGCATGGTGGGGTTTTGTTTTGTTTTTTTGACATATTATTCTTTTTACATCTTGTGTTTATAGTCAGAGTTCTCTAAAACACCATACATGTGCAAAAGTCACTTAGAGCCATACATGTGCAAAAGTACCTGAAGGGACTAAGAAAGAGAAACATGGTGCAAAGGGTTAAGCACAGCACTATGAAGCTATCCTCAGCTACTGCTGCACAAGTTCGATCCCCGGCCAGGGAGATGACCCACATGGCACAGCAGACCTCTCCTGCCTCACCTGCTGCTCCCCTCAGCAGTGTATTTCAGTAGATCTGCCTGTTCTGCTCCCCACTCTGTCTCTGGTGAATCCTCTCACCCCCTGCACCTCTGGCCTATACCCCAGTTCTTGTATGCATAAATAAGTAAATCTTTTTTAAAAAAAGAAAGAAAGAAAGAGAAACAAGGGCAAGATGGCATTAAAGCTTACTTGTGTTTACATATATCCCCAAAGCCTCACTGGGTGGGAGCTATCTTTTCCAGGTCCAAGGGCTTTGTGCCTCTGTTGGACCTGTTACTATTGCTGTCGATCAATGGTCCTAATAAGATAATTATGAGAAAACACAATCAGAGCAGACTTAGTTTTTTTTTTTCTTTCTTTTTTTTTTCTTTAAGGACAGGTTTATAAGGAAAAGAGAGAAAGAAAAACTAAAAGAGGCACCTGCACAGTAGTCACAGGTAGGCATGAGAGCTGCCTGAGTAGACTTAGTTTGAACTTGTGGAAGTCACAATGCTAGACTTGGACTTCGAACATCTGGGAGAGTGGCCCAATTCTCTCTAAGTGAATGACTCCCAGCAAATCAAGTGCATGGCCTCAGTGAGTCTCAGGCTCCTCTATTGTACCAAGAGGGTATAGCTGTTGGAGCTGCCACTTTGTAGGTCTCTTTCCAACTCTTTCCGTAATTTTGTTTTGAGATGTTACCTTTTGGACATGTGCTCTGCCTCTGAGATCCAAAGCAGGTGTTTTCAAAAGCTATGCATTGGAAAGTCTTTGGGTAGGACATGTAGTTTTCAGTCAGACATACTGCTCTACACCACTCACACTGCCAGAAACTGGTCCTTCCTCATAACTAAGTTGCCTGCATGGTCCCCGCAATGGGCTAGGTTTTGCTGCAGGGACAGCCAGTCCCCAAATCCCAGTGACTTAACAAAGTGGTCAATTTCTTGCTTAAAGTAACCATCAGACCTGGGCAGCAAGGTCTTCTCATCACTGGAACCGCCACAAGCTTCTATGGTCACCAAGGTGGCGAAGGAAAGTAGAAGACACCCCTGACCTCATAGCTAACACCCTTTGATTCTGCTCCCATCCCATTATCCAAATCAAGGCAGAGGAGATGCATTTAGGAAAGGGTTGGAAGGAAATGGAAGTGTATATGACAGAGGCACAGAGAAGTCAGAGAAGGATTTGTGGTATGGACTGGCCCTAGTGGATTGGGTCTGGAGGGAACAGAGAGGGAAGAGGCATGGGAGAGAGTGGCAGAGTGAGGGTTAGGATCTGTGTCTGTCTGGTCTATTTCGATGTCCACAAGAACCCAGGCCCTGGATGCTGTATAAATATCTAATCTCATTTTCCCCTACGCCACACATGGTAGGCATCACCATCTCTATTTTACAGGTGAGGACACTGAGGCCCAGAGAAGTCACCCAAGACCAAGTGTTTAGCAAACTGGCAGACTTTGGCAAGTTGGGATTGTGAGCCAGGTGTGACACGCTCAGAGCAGGCTTTCCAGGGAGTTGATCTATGCAGCCCCGGGGGAAAGGGTTCTTGGAGAAGCCTTGGCAGACAGCAGGAGGCTCACAACAGTGACAGTGTCACAGGGCAGAGAGGGGGCACCCCAGACCTTGCAAACCTGCCTGCTCTAAATAGGTTCTGCCATCTGTGGCATCAACACAAAACATATGAGACTTTAATGAAAAGGAACTTTAATACAATTCATAAACAATACAGAAAAGGCAAAGAATATAGTTTCTAAATCAGGCACACAAAGTTACCCGTCCGCTCGTGGGTAAAAGTCCACACAAACAAGATTGGCCCAGAGCAAGGCCCGAAAGCCTACCCCAAGTCTAAAGCACCTTTCAGTGGGGACCCACAGAAAAGGATCAGAAACAACCAGACAAGTCTGGAAGGAAAAGAGCAAAATCAAAATGAAGGTAAAAACTACCATTGTCACCTCCCCCCAGGTCTCTCACCCACATCTGTGTCACCCAGTCCACAACCAAAAGGCAAGCGCAGTTTCTTCACGTGTCTCTCTGCTCCATGTGCCTCCTCCAGGCCTCCTTCTGGCTCTCCATCCTTCTTCTTTCTTTCCTCAGTCTCCTCTGCAGCTTCTTCTCTTTGTTCAGCTCCACCATCCTTTGGGTGGGGCAGGAAACCTGGAACTTCCTTTATTCCTGGGGACCACCCTGTTACAATAGGAGTGAGGACAGTCATCTACCAGGAGCTGGGATTCCATTGACCCTGCCTCCCCATTCTCACCCTGTCTTTTTCTAGCACTACTCAGGCACCAAGAGCTCGGGCCTCATCTTGGCACAGCTGAGCCCTCTGTGTTCCACAGGGATGTCCCTCCCTGTGATCAGAAGCACATAGACCATCAAAGCTGGAGATGGGCTGGCTGGCCCTTGACCTCTCAGTGTGACCTTGGGAAAATCCCTTATCCTCACTGAGATCCTGGGACACCTGGGGAAAGAGTCTGGAGATTTCCAGCATCTCATCACCCAAGATCATGGGCCTCCTTGGGTCAGATAGCAGGGAGGTGGGCTGGGCTGAGCAGGCTATGCGGGGGAAAGAATCAATGGGAATCAATGGGAAGCAGATGGCTCAGGAAAGCTGGGCAGGGCTTGGTAGGCAGAGCACAGGGCATCTGGAAGTTCCAGCAGGAGGCAAGTGCCTCCACAGGCTGGGGAATGGTTTTTCAAATAGATCTCTACCGAGTCCCTTCTGTGTACAAGACACCATGCTGAGCCCCTAGGGGCATCTCTGCCTTACTGCCAGGAGCCAGGTATCACCATGTCCTCTCCACTGAGAGGACACTGAGGCTCAGAGGGGAATAAGATACATGTTCAAGGTCATATAACTTAAGTGGATGCACTGGGGCTAGAATCTAGGTTTTCAAACTCCACACCCCCTTCATTTCCCTAGGAGATAAGGGCAGGACTCTGAGGCCAGGCAGGAACCACCAGGTTGGGACCCAGACATGAGGGACAGTCCCAACTCCTGACTCTGGAATTAGGGAGGGGCTTTGATTCTTGGAGAGGGGCAGTCAGATCTCCTGTTTCCACCTACGCCTGTGACTCCTTAAATTCCTCATCCTGTGGTCAGCTCAGGGCACAAGGCATGAACAATCACGACTGACTCTCAAAGAGAAACTCCCTCCCCCACTCTTTGGGCAGCCACACACTGTGTGCAAGCACATGTCAGGATACGCCCATGCGCTTGCACACTGCCAGTGGTCCACACCCCTGAGAACACTCCACCCGCCACTCTTGGTTCTAAGAGAGTGGGCGGAGGCCGGCTGTTCCAGGGAGAAGTGGACAAGGTGGTCTCCAAAGCCCCTTCCCTTTCCAGTCTTCTCCCCTCAGCCTCTGGATTACCAAGCACACTCCCAGGATGGAAACCATTACCTACTAAGGTTACACCCTCCCAGCTAGTACTAGATCCCAGACCTGTCTCTCCATTCCTCCCTGCCTCGCTGGAGAATCATCTAATCTCCACTGACTCTCCCCCAGCCTGAGCTGCTGTTGGCCTCTACTCTGACTTCCCCCAAGAATTTTGACTCAGTCTGTGACTGTGACTCAGTCTCCCACCTCCCGGCGTCAGTGTCCACACCTGACAAATGGAGGAATGATGTCTAAATCCACCTTCTAAATGCTAAGGTTCCTGGCCTGCGGTCTTGCAGATGGGAGGAGGGAAGTAGGCAAGGCCAGCTGAGCTCCTGGTTGAGGAAGGAACGGAGGAGCAGACCCCAAGCCCAGCCTGTGCCCATTTCATCAATGCCTGCTTTTGTCTGGAGCTCTCAGCAAGCAGGTGAGTTCATTTTCCATTAAGGACAATTATCTCTTCATTTGCATATGCTAAATGTGACATTTAAGGGAGCAGTTCCTCCCTACCCCAAACAGGATAAAAGTCCTATGACAGGCAGGCAACCTGCGGTTTGGGGCAGAGGTGTAATTGGCTCTTATTAAGGGAAGATGCAGGGAAATACAGGTTTTGAAATGCAAATGACAGCATCACTCCTTCCACTGGGGCTGAATGGGGAATGATGAGAGCCAGCCTGGGCGCTACCTGGCTGCCAGCGCCTGTCTGCCCACAGACCTCCAGACCTGCAGAATCACTGCATAAGAGAGACAGATGCTGAGGGGGTGGTGGGGGACGAGGTGGCTCATTCTCCTGGGGGGAGCAGGGCAGACCTGCACACCACCCTCTGGGCAGCCCTAGCCCTGCCTCGCTCTGCCAGCAGTTCCCCCCACCCCCACCCCATGGCATCAGCGACAAGCAAATCTTCTGCCTGAAGTGAGGACTCAGCATGTTCAGCCTTGGCTCAGAAACCCCCACTGATAGCTTCATCTGTGGCTATTACCAAATTTCAGCCACAGCAAGGAAGAAGACTGGGGGTCCCAAATTCTACCCCCACTGCCATTCTCTGTGTTGCAGCTACCCCTACACTCTCACCCACTGGACAAACTCACTCTTGTCTCCAGCCAGCCCAAAGGACACGTTCTCCATCCAGCCTGTCCAGAGGCTCCGGCTGAGCTTTGGTGGCCTCCTTCGCCCTCATCACTAGCTTCCCCACTGAGAGCCCCTGGAAGCAGGTATAATTCTGACTCCCCTCACTTTGGGAACATCTGCTCAGAGGTACCTCCCCAAAGGAGCTTGTAAGACTTGGTTGTCACCTGGAAGGAAGCTTGGTGGGTCGAGGCTTCCGTGCACTTTTATAAGGCTGTCCCTGTGCTAACCTTAAAGATTACTTACGTTCCTCCCATTTCACAGATAGGGAAAAGTGAGGCTGGGTGAAATAGAGCCACCCCCAAGTCTGTGGGGAACTCTGGATAAATCAGGCCCAGAACACCACTCTTTACATACCACCTAAGCTGGATGGCATATGTGGCACCAAGGACCCCACAAAAATAGAGCCTTCCAGCTGGCCGCCTTACCATGTGATACCTATAGGTCCTGACCCAGCCCTGACTCCCTGGGCCTCTTCAGATCCACTTGCTGAGACTGAGGATGCCACCCCCACCAGCAAAATCACTGACCCCTCCTGGTTATGCCATCAGCGAAGAAAGTGAAGCCAGAGCCGTAACGTAGCCTGGCACTGCAGGATAAAAACTCTAGCCCCCAGGTCCCCAGGGCTCAGCCCAAAATGCCTCTTCATAGTGCTTTTTTGCCTCAGACATCCAGAGCTGTACTCTGCTCTCAGGAACCCCAGGAAGAAGGTAGAGAATGGACAGAGGGGACTCTGGACCCATTGTGCCTCCCGAAACCCTAACCTCGGCCCCCCAGTCCTGCCTGCCTCCACTGAAACACGCCTCCCTGTCCTCTGCCGCATGTCTTCTCCCAGCACAGCCCAGGGTTGGTGGGCAGAGTCAGGGCTCAGGATGTCTTCTATTGTTTGTGATCTGAGAGATCCCGGGTGAGTTCAGAACCTGTGAGAGACAATCAGAAAACAGATTCCCTCTTCTGTGAGGGGGGTGACAGAGCCTGTCCCACAGTATCGCTCTTCCATTAGTGAAGCTAAACTGTGTGAGTCTTGAGCAGGCAGTAGGTGCTCAGTCATAGTCTGTTCCCTAGCCCTTTCTCCCTTTGATCTTTAAGATTGAGAGCCCAGAAGAAGGAGCCCTTGGCAGAAGTAACGAGTACTGGGCCCAGGGCAAGTCTCCACTCCTCCTCTGTCCCCAACACAGAGTCCACACAGGAGGTCAGCAAAATCCCAGGATACTGCTGCCCAGACAGCTGCCAGTGGCACGTTCCATACAAACGGGTGTTTAGGAGACAAGACCCTCAGCAGGACCTGTTGAAACAGATCTAGGGAACAGAACAGGCATCCCAGGGGAAAACCTGCACCCGATGTGATGCCAGCTACCCTGTGGCCTGAGGATCCAAAGAAATCACAGAATGGAAGGGGGGTTCACAGGGTCCTCTTAGTTGGCTGCATGTTGGAATCACCTAGAGCTCATAGATGACTCAGTCATACCCCAGAATACTTAAGTCAGAATGCCTGTGGAAGGAGCCAGTCTCAAAATTCCCAGGTGGCTCCAGGACCACTCCCAATTTGGAAACCACAGGGTTACAGAACAGTACAGCAACTGCAGGCAGTTGGACAAGACTTGACCAGGTTTAGTGTTTTCTGATCCATTGCCCCATCTGATTGTCATTTGCTGACTTGTGGAGCCACTTTATGATACCAATTGTACAGAAGAGAAAATTGAGGCTTAGGATGTGGCTATGTGTCCTGACGTAGCCACTGTTCGATGGCACAAGAGCCAAACTCCAGACCTCAAGGCTGGACTCTTTTGACACTGGCACAGCTACAGTGTGCCATTTGGGATGGTCACAAAGAGACAAGGACCTGGCTTCCAGGGGCTCCCAAGCTCTGAGAGACATCCCAACCTTTCCCAGGAGGAGGTTCTGATGGTGGTGGGCACAGAAGAGCAGGGGTGTCACTGAAGTGGGCAGAGAGGACTGTGCATGTGGATGCAAGCCAGCATGCTAGCCAATGCACTCCGCAGCCCCAAGTAATCCCTGGCTCCAGGCCAGGAACTTCTCCCATAAGACTTCATCTTGTGATGTGTGGGGGTCTGTTCCAGAATGGTGGAGTCCAAACATCACCTCTTTATCTGAGTCTTTCCTGACACCCCTCTGATAACAAAGCAAGCAGCTTAACTAGGAGCAGAAGGTTTACTAGGGATTTCAGCTTCTTCCTCTAGGTCTGTGTTGGAAACACGGCCGTTCACATAAGCCCAAGGCACTGCTGGTAGGACACTCAGAGGGGCCCAAGGCAGGTCTGGGACTGGCATAGCTCCTACTACCCCTCCTGGTCCTTGAAAACTGTCAGCAACTCCCTGCCCGCCCAAACCCTTCCCTGGTCCTTTTATTTCAGGGGACAGAGGAAGTGGGGAAAAGCAACCCATGAGGTCGATTACCAAAGAGACATGCTCTGCCTGGCAGCCATCCAGACCAGGATTCAAACCCTCCTCTGATGTGTGATTTTGGACAAATTGCTTGCCCACCCCCCAAGTCTTGGAGCTCTCATCTATGGACTGCCCTGATAATGAGCAGCATCTCCAAGTACCTGAGGACTAAACAGCATCCATGCTAACTGTGGGACCCTGGACATGACATTTTACTTCCCCTTGCTTCAGTCAACCCATCTTTAAAGTGGGGATGATTATACCTTTTCACAGAA